ACTTTGGCAATATCTGAAAAGTGACCATCAAAATGCCATTTGAAACTGTTTTGTTTGTTGGGTGGGGTGTTTTTGTTTTCCCCTCTTCAACGATGGTCAGATTAACAAGACTTTAGAGGAAGGGTTGTGTGGCATATGAACATTATTTGTTTTGGTTGTCATTAGTAACAGTAGCCATAATATGTGATAAAGGGGTGATTATAGTGAAACTGAGATGTACAGATGAGGAAAAATGATGCTGGTTTCACTGGAGAAGGCTTTATAACTTTGTTTCAGATCTGTGTTCTATCGCTCATACAAAGAGCAAGAGTCTAAAAAAGGGTATGACCAAGAGGAAGTTTTTGAAAAGCCTACACGCGAAACTTGCCAAGGTAAGATATAGGAGTGTATGAAGACTGACTTTTTGAAGTAAATTTTTGTGGGCAAGGTTGTTAATGTTGTTGAACTGATTCAGTCTTTATTTTGGGACATATAAAATAGCAGAAATGTCTGTATTAATAGCAAAATACATCAGCTGAGATATTTGCATAAAATTATCTTCAGACATTTTAGCAGTAGTCTGAAGTTGCAAGCAGACTTGTTGAATTTCTACAGAGCATCAAAGTCAGTATGTTGAAAAATTTGGGAGTCTTTTTTTTCTTTTTTTTTTCCCCTCTTTTTTTTCCCAAGGTATGAGACATGCAATCTATGACAAACTTGATGATGATGGTTTGATAGCACCTGGGGTACGTGTGTCTGGGGATGATGTCATCATTGGCAAAACAGTAACGCTGCCAGAAAATGAAGACGAACTGGAAAGCACTAATAGACGTTTCACAAAGAGAGACTGTAGCACTTTTCTGCGAACTAGTGAGACTGGTATTGTAGATCAAGTCATGGTAACCCTTAACCAGGAAGGATACAAGTTCTGCAAGATTAGGGTGAGCACTGACGTATATGCTTTCTACTTCTAATCATTTTTGTTCTGTATTTAAGTTACCAATTGAATGTTTTCCTGTGGCTTACAGGTACGCTCTGTAAGAATCCCACAAATTGGAGATAAATTCGCTAGCAGACATGGTCAGAAAGGAACCTGTGGTATCCAGTACAGGCAGGAGGTAGTGATTTTTTTTTTTTTCCCCCCTTCTTAACATTTTCTCTCTGATCTTCTTAGCATTGGAACTGCCTTAAGTGAGTTGTCTGTGGAATATCTACTCAGGTGCAATATATTGACTTAAATTTAGCTAAAATATGTTTAGAAAGGGACACAGTTGCTTCTTACGTGGTACTTCAGTGCCTCTGAAATGCTTTAAAAGATGTAATTTGAATCCATGCAGCTGCTTTTCTTAAAGCTGGTATTCTGGGAAGTACTGACTGTCTGTTTCCCTGTTCTAGGATATGCCCTTCACCTGTGAAGGCATCACACCTGATATAATTATCAACCCCCATGCCATCCCTTCCCGCATGACCATTGGTCACTTGATTGAGTGTCTTCAGGGGAAGGTAAGAAGAATCTTTCATGCTGTATGTCTGAGCAATATGAATTAAAATGTTTTTTGGTTCCCTCCCCGTTTTTGTTTTTTTTTTTAAAGATACTACTCCCTGGTAGGTGTTAATCCACTAAAAACTAAGGGTTGTTCTCCAGTTACTTTATAGCAAAAGCAGGTTTCTTGGGGAAGACCTACAGTCCTGTAAATTTTGTCCAGCAAGTTGGACTACAACGTACTCTCTCATCTGTTGCTTTTATTCCAAACATTTCTTATGACCTAGAAAAAGGAGTAGCAAAATTGTTGATAGTGTGTATTTTTTAAAATCTCACTATAAATTGTGTAGCTGGTAAACAAAGCAAGATAGGGTACTATCATGGGCGTGGGATCTCAAGTTCTGGCATTAAGAGTTAAAACTGTTTGAAACAGCTTAATGTTGTCTGACCAGTCCTTCAGAAATCTGACAAGCTTTTGCAAATCTCTTCTCTGTAGGTGTCTGCAAACAAGGGAGAAATTGGTGATGCTACACCTTTTAATGATGCTGTCAATGTGCAGAAGATTTCCAATCTTTTATCAGATTATGGCTATCATCTAAGAGGAAATGAGGTATAATCAAAATATCAATTCGCTGTAATTTTTTTAATATACATTTGATGGATAGTAAGGCTTATGATTCAGTGATTGCATTGACTACTTCAGGTCCTCTACAATGGCTTCACTGGTCGAAAAATCACATCACAGATCTTCATTGGTCCTACATATTATCAGCGGCTGAAGCACATGGTAGATGACAAAATCCATTCTCGTGCAAGAGGGCCAATCCAAATACTTAACAGACAGCCCATGGAAGGTAGATCTCGGTAAGGATGTTTATTAGTTTCTATCCAGTATTTTCTTGTTCTTTCAAGTTTTTATCCCTAAAAATTAGCTGCCTCAACTTTGCAGCTAGAACTTAATTAGCTCACCCCAATTAGCCACCCATTTTCATGTGTTTGGCTTAAGATGATGTACTGGGTGCAGGTGTCAAGGTTTTGGTAGCAGGAGGTGCTGCTGGGGTGGCCTCTCTGAGAAAGGACCAGGGGTTGCCCTGTGCTGGACACAGCCACTTACAGCTGGCTCAAACAGACCCGCTGCTGGCCAAAGCTGAGCCCATCAGCGACGCTGGTGGCACCTCTGTGGTAACATATTTAAGAAAGGGTAAAAAATGCTGCGCAGCAGCTGTGAGAGAGTGGTGGGAAAATGCAAAAGGAACAGCCCTGCAGGTCAGAGAAAGAGGAGGGGGAGGAGGTGCTCCCAGCATCGAAGCAGAGATCCCCCTGCAGCCTGTGAAGAGACATGGTAAAGCAGGTTGTCTGCCTGCAGCCCATGGAGGACCATGATGGAGCAGATATCCACGCTGCAGCCTGTGGAAAGCCCACACTGGAGCAGGCTCCTGGCAGGAGCTGTGATGTGTGAGGGATCCATGCTGCAGCAATCTGTTCCCTGTACCCTGTGGGAAGGGCCCATGCTGGAGCAGTTTGTGAAGGACTATCCCATGGGAGGGACCCCACGCTGGAGCGGGGAAGCGTGAGGAGGAGGGAGCGGCAGAGTGGCACTGTTACGCGCTGACTGCAACCCCCATTCCCTCTGTCACCACGGGGAGGGGAGGAAGGAGTTGGGAATAAAGGAGTGAAGTTGAGCCTGGGAAGAAGGTAGGGGAGACGATGTTTTTAGTTTTGTCTTTGTTTCTCATCATCCTACTCCATTTTTAATGGGCAATAAATTAAACTAATTTTCCCCATGCTGAGTCTGTTTGCCTGTGATTGTAATTGGTAAGCTATCTCCCTGTTTTTATCTCGACCCACGAGCTTTTCCATCTTATTTTCTCCCCCTGTCCTGTCAACATGGGGAGTGAGAGAGCTGCTTGGTGGGTATCTGGCAGCCAGCCAAGGTTAAACCCACCACAGATAAGTAGAGGATGATTTAGTTGTTTACCTCGTTTTGCTGTACGGTTGTGCTGTGGCTGTTAGCTGTCTGACATCTGCTTTAGAAATGCTCAGCAGCAGTTACAAATTATTGTGTTTGCATTTTCCCTCACAGTTTTATTATGAGGTGTTAGAGGACAATTAATGCACAGCGTTACTCCTGCCTTGTAATACTGCTCTTGTGGTTCTGATAAGTTACTTGTTCCACCAACAAGAACTGATGTATTTTGCCAATGAACTCAAAAGTTGAAGGTTTTTTTCTTTTCCTCTTTTCAGTGATGGTGGCCTTCGTTTTGGAGAAATGGAACGAGATTGCCAGATTGCTCATGGAGCAGCCCAGTTCTTGAGAGAAAGACTGTTTGAAGCTTCAGACCCGTACCAAGTCCATGTCTGTAACCTCTGTGGAATCATGGCGATCGCAAACACAAGGACTCACACCTATGAATGCCGGGGATGCCGTAATAAAACTCAGGTACGTGTGGTTTTCATCAGCCAGTGTTCCTCTTTGTGGGTAAGAGGAAATGCCACTCGGGTGAACAGGAGAATAGGGAAGTAAATATTTAAAGAAGCACCAGAACAATTGCTATTTTAGTTTCATAACTGTTTCAAGTGTTTATAGTGCCCTAGTTAATTTGGATATTTCCTTATTAATTTTACAGTGTTGGCTTGTTACTTGGCAGGAAATGCTGTTCAAGTATTTTGCAGTGCAGAGTTTTCAGAGACTTTAAACTCTTGAGAGCTTATTTTTAGAAGTAAAACTCAGAATCACAGGAATTTAGAGCCATCGCCCTTGTGACTGTCCCCATGAAGATATTTATGCTTGCAGAGCGGGGTCCCCATGGGAGGTCTTTTGTGTTGCACTTTTTTTTTCCCCCCTTTTTAAATAATAATAAAAAAAAGCTCTGTAGTGTGTGCTTGGTTACGGAACTGTGTCAAGGGAGAGTGGCAGCAGAGAGAAAAATAGTTGCCTTAAACGGGCTTGTTCTTGTGCCAGGGACTGACTGCTGCAACTCTAACAACGGCATTGAGGCTACTGAAGAGATGCGTGCTGGAAATCTTAACTGCATTTACTGCACATCAGGCACGCTTTGCTATCCCCATGTTCCGTGTTAAATGGCTCTTGTTTAAGATCAGATCCCTTGGCTGCAGGCTTTATCATTAAAAATGTGTTCTGGATAGCTGCTGTGTAGCCTCTACAGACAGTCTAAGCTTCCCTCTTGCTTCGTTACTGTCTGTGAGCAATTCTTGTTAAATGCTTTCATGCGTAACCGGATTCACTTTTGAGCCAAAAACTTGACAAGTTATTTGTGTAGAGCGTGATGGAAGTTGATGCTTTAGGAGTGCTTATCACAAGCCTTTTGAAATCTCTTTCCAGATATCTTTGGTTCGGATGCCCTATGCCTGCAAACTCCTCTTCCAAGAACTGATGTCTATGAGTATTGCACCTCGTATGATGAGTGTTTAACCTTTAAAGGGGTTGGCATTTTTTTAATGATGAGACTGAAGCGCTCAAGTTTTGTTTCATTTTGTGTAGGTGGCATTTAAAATACAATTTTACTCATCTGCTATGTGCTGTTCAAAAGTACGTTTATTTCCTGTAAATAAAAATTTGTAATCAAACTTGTGAATCTCTTTATTTGTGTATCTGTGAAAGAAGCGTCCAAGCAAATTGGTAATCAAAGAATAAGGGAGTTAAGAGGGAATGATTAGTCAGCTAGGAAAAGGCAGAGGTTGCAGCTTTCCAAAATACTAATTTAAAACTGTGCGTAAGTGAAAGTCCTCACATCACATCACAGCTCTGCACCATCATCTGTGGAAAAACAAAAACATGTTACGCTCTGTACTGTTCCAAGGGGTAATATCACAACTTGGGCAGTAGCACAGTGAGTTAGCTGATGGCTTAGCTGAGGGCGAGACCTGACAACTCACTCCTGACCCCCTCCTTCCTTCTTTCTTTCCTTCCTTCCTTCCTTACTGCAGGACTACAGCAGCAGGGGAATGGCAATAGGTGGCATTTTTCTGTGCTGAGATCACCTGGACGCGGGACACAGACTCCCTAACCGCGTAGTGTGTAGCTATGATGTCTGCCAGTTTGTTCCATTAAGGTTATCATTTCCTTTAAGTAATTGTGGACTGCCAGCTTACTGCTTAGCTACCGCATGCTTACCTGAGAGCTTTCCTACAGCTGAAAAGAAACAGCTGTGACATGTGGTGTGCACATAAGCCATTAACCATGAGGCAATAGACGTGGTACTACAGCTTTGCGGTAGAGTTACTGTGAGAGGGCGAGGGAACATCTATTCTGGGGTATAAGCGTGCTGCTCATGGAACAACTCGGTAAAACTCAATTTCATTCACATCCATAAATAAGATGTTTGAAAAGGGATTAGAGACTAGCTAAAAACCTTCAGCAAAGTTCCTGTGGGGAAGTGATACTGGGATTCATTTTACGCTCTTATTTCAATGCCAGGTGCTGTTAATATTCTAAAGGAAGTCTTCCAGCTCTTCAGGGATATAAGGATACAGAAAGTCAAGACTGTATCATTCAGATAAAGCTGCTGGATTAAAACCAAGGATGATGTTCAAACGTGGACTTTGGCAGCACAGTATTCTCTAGCTGGATGCTTTGTTCCCAGTGCCTCTGCCTCTAGCACGGTTACAATTACTGTTCCACCTCTCCGGATTTATTCCGAAGCACACGTGGCCTCGGTACTAAGCCATGCTCTTTGCAGCTGGAATGAGGGTGGCTGGTTTGCCATCAGCTTTGCACACAGCCTGGCAAAGAGGACCCGGGTTTGAAAACTGGCTGAGGGCTGTGGAGGGTAAAGGCTTCAGGTCTTGCCTAAAGGCCTGCTGTGGCATGTGTGTCCCATCCCGGGTTTGACGCTCCAGCATGCAGAGAGAGAATGGCAGGGACTAGGATGTTTTCAGGATGGGGAAGAATGAGGAGGTGCAGGGACTTGGCAGGAATTTAAGCGCTTGAAGTTTCCCCTCTGTTTTGGGGCTGGTTGTGCCAATACTGCTCCCAGGAGAGATGGGCAGGTTTGGAAGTGTCCCAAGAACAGTGAAAGGAGGATACAAATTTAGGGCTGGAAAACCACTGAAAGTTGCTTTGTAAAAACCCCAAAAGGTGTTTTTAATTTGGTATCTTAATCTCCAGTACTTTACAGCACTTGGGGGGTTATTTAACAATCCCTTCAGAACTCTAGCAGCTGAGATTTGCTGGGAAAGTTTTGCCAAACCCAGTAAAAGCTGCATGCTAAACTGCTATTTCTAGTGTGCGGGTTTTTTTTTCAGAAAGCATTAAACAGAGGTGGTCCTTCTGTACCAAATAACTGAGGAAACGGTTAGGGGAAAGAGCTGCTGAGTGTTCAACCACACTACCTACCTTTGGTCAGTGCTATTTCATGCAGAGTTTCCACAACGTGGATTTTTGCAGAAGCTGTTGCCTCTCCTTTGGCGTTTGATGCATGACACTCATATTCTCCAGCATCCTCTTTGCTCAGAGGAGATATCTAGGGGAAGAAACACCCCCCATCCCCCAATAAGTATCCTGTGTATAGGTGGCGGCGATTCTGTTTTAAGGCATCTTTATATAACTTGTTAATTGCTTGAGACGTGATGAGACGAACAGAGTGCATGAAGTAGCAGTTAACCCTTAGGGACCACACTGACTGCGAGATTTCTTCCGTCAGCTCTGAACAGTCTGGTTCAGATTGCGGTGGCTCTCTCCAGTAAGGTTTGGGACAAGCACCCGCTCCTGTGGATCAGCCTAGCTTTCTTCGCTGCTAGGCCAGATTACGTGTGCTGTAACGCTCCCTCCTTTTCTTTTATTGTTTACTTAGTTTGGAGATGTGTCAGACTACTGCATGCTTGGTAAGGGGAGGGAGGCAGGAAGAAAAAGCATTCCTACAACATGCTGCATCCAGTCAGTCAGTTCAGCAAAATCATCGGCTCAAACCTTTCCCTCTCCTTGTTTCCACCTCTGCTTTTGGAAGTGGTACGGGAACCAACACCCTGAGCTGTGCTCCCCTGCTGCCAGCTTCTCTGCAGCTGGGAGCCGTCATACTTGCAATTCCTTTACCGGGATGCACAGCAGCTCCCTCTGGCCACCCCGCTGCTTCTCTCTGATGTAAGGCGATTGCCGATTAGCCTGCAGGTACTCCCGTAGCTTAGGAGGTCTGCTGAGTGAGAGCTGATGGCTTCTGCGCTGTGCTATCCTCAGGCAGGTGATGTGCTTCACTGAAGAAAGGAGAATTCTACCAGATCTATAAGGGCTCCTCAGCTGTGGGTCCTTCTTAGGGATGCCTTGCCTCTCTGTACCGATTACTTCCTAGACATGGAGAGGGTCTCCTTCCCACTAATGGCAGCAGGAAAGTAATGACATACAGAAAGGAGATCTTTTATTTAACTCTCGCCCTCTCTGACTGTAGAATGCATGCTTCTACCGCAAGCTAGACAGAGGTGAAAAACTGCAACGGGCGAGACCGGAGCCAGCAGCCACCCTTACCCTTCATGTCTAATTCACACAGGTTGTTTTCCTTTAAATGCCCCTGTCTGTTGCCATGTGTCTTCTGTACTGTTCTTTGTTCATGAGCTGTTTGCAAACTGCACTGTACTGTTTGTGCAGCTTTATGCCTACACAAAGTACTTACGAGCACCCAGCCAGTCACTTCGTGTTTCTCAGGGCCCCCTCGGGTCTGGATAGCTAAGTTTTCCCGGTCCCCAGGCAGAAGCTCCATCCTCTGGACACCATACTGTCCCCGAATTATCTAAACAGAAGGGCAGAAAGGTGTGAGAACTTTGGGGCTTATTTATGCTAGAACTGTTAGGACCATACCTGCACACAGACAAGACCAACACTAGTTTTACATGAATGTGTTTTGTGCGGGAGCAGTGTTTTTTCTAGTGCCAGCATTTCACCTTATCCTCCACGTACTGCAGCCCCACTACCCCAATGCCTCAGCGTCTGCAAGGGGGCTGCGTTCTCCTTGC